TCAGCAGGGAATAGGGGATACTCTGTTTACCAGGGCTCCCCTCAGGGTTACCAGAAATAACTGCCACAAACTGAAGGAGAACAGATTTAGATTGGACATAAGGAAGAAATTCTTTATGGTAAGGGTTGCCAAAATATGGAGTGGGCTTCCAAGGGAGGTGGTGCTTTCCCCTACCCTGGAGCAAGGTTCCCTCTAAGGTACTCACATGCGCAGACACACACAATTAAGTGTGGCCATGCACAGCCTTTTCAAGCCCGCGAGCCTGGCAAAGGCCCCACCGGCTCTGGGGAAGTGCTCCGCTCCCCCGCATCAGGGCCAGGGAGTCAAGCACTTCCCCAGAGCCAACAGAGCCTACACCAGCCTCCATCCCTGCCTTGCCTCAGCTCGGGGAGGAGCCGCTGCCTGCCCCAAGTAAGGCTCTGGGACACGCCCCGGAGGCCATGCCAGGGAGTGGAGCAGTGTCCCGGAGCCCATGGAGCCTCACTTGGGGCAGGCAGCGGCTCCTCCGAGCTGAGGCAAGGCAGGGACAGAGGCTGGCGCAGGGTCCGCAGGCTCTGGGGAAGCGCTCCATTCCCCAGCCCTGATGCGGGGGAGGAAAGCACTTCCTCAGAGCTGGTTGAGCTCGCACTGGCTCCTGGCTCCGGCCCCCACCCCCAGCCTCCAGCCCCCTTCGATAAGTGTCCCATGCCAGACGGAGGCAGCGCACTCACGGACCACTACTCCTTAGAGGGAACATTGCCCTGGAGGTGTTAAGGAGAAGATTAAACAGGCATCTGGCTGGGGTTACCTAACCCCAGCACTTTCTTGCCTGGAGCAGGGGGTCAGACCCGATGATCTACCAGGTCCCTTCTGATTCTAGAAATCTATGAATCTATGAATGGAGTGAAGCTACCACAGGTTAAAAACCTTCTGGGCCAGGATGTTTTTTCCCCAAAGCAGACAAAAAAAAAGAAGACTATTTGTCACATTAGCAAAGAAGCTGGTCTAAATGTTTGGCAAAAGTGAGGAACTGGGCAACAAAACCAAAAGGATGCTAAGAAGGGGATTTTGGGTGCAAGTGAGAAAATAAAGGTTGATGAAGTGTGTAGACAAGTGTCTTATTTATGTTTTGGGTTCCAAAGTGTGGCCCGCCTCGTCACATTTGCCTACCACACCTTGATGGGAAAAGAAAAAGGGGAAGCTAATTGTCAACAGCAAGGTAATGAAAACTGCAGTTTTGTCCCACAGGTGAATTCTCCTCACAAGCCTCCAAGCTCCCCTACACCCTGTCCTCACCACCCCATGAAATGTAGCTAGGGTCTTTTACTCCCAGTCCTCAGAGCAATGGCTTCAGAGAGTTCTCAGCTGTCTGGCCATATACCCTCCTGAGCCTTGTTCCTTGCTTTCTATTAGTTACTTAAGGGTGACTCCTCAGTCAACACGCTATTAACTCTCTCTCAGTCCCAAATCATCCTCTCTCAGAGACTGTCTCAGCTAAGTCCTGCAGACAGTCTTTCTTACTCTGAATTGAAATCAGAATCCTAGCTCCAAGAATCAACATCCTTTATACTAGCCTCCATCAGCTGACCAGCAACTCCTCGCCTCACATCTTTTCAGCCCATCACAGTTCTCTGCTAGTCTTCCATCTCCAAAATAGTTGACTCAGAGGTTCCACTGTCCCGCTGTTCTCAAGCCTCCACACAGGTCTACACCACTCCCACCTAGGAGATTACGTTTCTACTCCCCTCTCCAGGGAAAAATGAGTCCTTCATTGCTTGCTCTTAGATTGGTTTTTTGGAGCAGCCCAATAACCTTCAGTGCCCTCCATCAAGTGCTTCTGCAGCTGGGAGATCCTCAATCCCAGTCTTCTACCTGCTGCTGCCAGGTTCATCCCTGGTCATCCATCATGGTCACCAGGAGCAGCTACGAGTCTTTCCCCACAAAAGGGTTTCTTGCCATCCCTGAGGCCCTCTGCCAGCACTGACAGATGGGACCAGCTTCCAGCTGGCTCATGGTAAGCCTCCAAGCTGGGGAAAGTCCCGACTCAGGGAGCAGAGAGCACAGGCATCACTGTGCTCAGGCATGTAACAGAGACCGAGGATTGGCTCCGTGTTACAATGTGGAATTATGGAGCGCTTGAGGGTGAGGGGGAAACAGAATCAGAATTGGACTCCAAGACAAGATTCAACAACTGTATTAGTCAGGGTTATGGCTTGGTTTGGCTGTCTCTCTTCCAGCTCTGACCACATTTTAGCTTCTAGCCCCATCATAGCTTGAACACCTCCTGGACTGCTGAGTTTGTTTTTCCTCACTGCCTTGTTCCCTTGCTTTTCAATAATAAGAGACTCACTGACTTCAACAAAGAGGATCAAACAGGAGTGTTACTTGCAACCAGGCAACCAAAGCAAGGACAAGCACAATCTCTTACCCTTACAATATTCCTCCTAAGCAAGAATATAGTTGCAGTCACTCCTCACACATTGCAAGTCAGAGCTGTCCAACTGGCACACCACAGGTTGCAAGAAGATGGATTAATCCGAGGCCCCCAGGCTCCTGGTCCAGGCACCGCTCCCCACATAATGCATCTGCTGCTAACAGGGTCTCCAGGCTCCCCTTCCCTCCTCCAGCTTCCGTATCTAGCTCCTGTCCTTGGGGGCAATGCAGGGCACTCACAGGGCCAGTGTAGTACAGTGACGGGGCACCCGCTGCATAGCCCAGTGGGGGGGACACATGGCATGCCACTAGGGTGCCAGCATGGTGTGCAGTCCAGGTGGTATGTAGTCACCAGCCACTCCAGCCAGAAGTTGAACAGCCCTGCACTACCCTATCCATCCTCGGAGGAGGTGCATGTTACAGAACAGTAATTAAGTAATGCCTTAATGCAACTTTAGGAGGGCTCCAGCATGGGAGGCAAAGCTGTCTCAGACAGACAAGTTTTCTCTACAGACGTATTCAGTATTGGCTTTAGGAATGGCTTGTGCCTCTCCCCACAGGGACCATCTAAGGTCCTTCTTCACCTTCACCAGCAGCAATGGAAAGACCATAACCCTCAAATTGGATACTCCTCAGAATCACTGCTTCAGAGACTTGGGAATGAACAGCTGAGAAGGGAAATGTAGCTGCCAGACCTGCTGCCCAAAGAACTTCTGTACCAGGGAAGGTCTAGTATAGAAAGTAGGATGGCCTAAGTTACTTACCTCAGAATTACACAAAAAGTGTGCTCCTGAAAAGCTTAATGGACATATGCACTCCAAAAACATCAAGCCCTGCATTTACTTGTACTAAGTCTACATGGCAGCCATATTATGAACAGCATTATTTACAAGAGGCAGGGAGGAAAAAATTCCATGAAAATTTAAGTGCTACCAGAAGACAGGGTTCTAGAGATTTAAGAAAATGGGAAAATTAAAGACTTATTTCTGCTTCTACTCAGACTTGGCAAGCCATCTAACTTCTCTTTGCCTCAGATTATATAATAATTACTTGTGGGCACGTCTGTAGTGCTCATCACTATACCATTAGCTTTATTTTCTAGGGAGTTAATTATATTTATTTACCAGCCTCACAGCAGTATTGCAAGCCTAAATTGATGCTTGTATAGCCTTTGTGGTCCTCAGGGCTACACAACTACAAAGTATTTTATTGGGTCTTTACGGGAACATGCTTGCAAGATCAGTGGCAAAGTGCCAAAAATATATGAGGAACAAAACAGCCTATTTTTATTAAGGGCTCTAAGCCTTTTGTAACCCTGCTCACTCAGCAATAAGCTCCTTCCAGAGAGCTGAGAACATTGGTTTCCTTTAAGTATACTTTTAAAAGAGGGTGTTTTCCACTACGGAAGGTCCCACAGTTCTGGACACAACCCTGGATGTACTGTGATGAGTCAGAATTTGTGTAGTGGGCTAAAATGAAAACATTCTGCTTCAGATAAACTCTTCTGGCAGATGCAGGCACTGAAGCATCAATACCTCTCCCTAACTAGCTCAGCAATTTGCTGGATGCAGGATGTGCTTAGTTGCATCTTTTATTGAACCAACTACGTAGTTGGGGAAATGCTATACAAGTTTTGCAGAACAAAAATACCCTTCTTCAGATCTGGGAAAGAAGCCAATACAGACCGGTTGGTGGAAGGCTATTTTGTGTCTAAAAACTTGTCTTTTATTGGATTAACTATGTAACAGGGAAAGATAAGGAATATTTAAAAAAAATAAATAAATCTTGCTCTCACATACTCCCTGGACTATCAAGGCTACATCACCCCTTCTGCAACATCAGCAATCCATTGTCATCCTTCCACTCACCAAGTCAACATGGCACATGGTGACCAGTGGTGTCCTTCAGGGTTCAGTACTCAGTCCAGTACTCTTTAATATATTCATTAATGATCTGAATTCGGGTGTCAGAAGCAGACTGGCAAAGTTTGCGGATGACACCAAACTATGGGGAAGCGTGGTTACACTGGAGGATAGGCTGAGGATTCAGGCCAACTTGGACAGGCTCACAAGGTGGGCAGATATAAACCTGATGACCTTCAACATACAGAATGCAAGGTTCACCATACCTATAGGCTCAGCAGCGGTCCACTCAATAGCACTACATCTGAAAGAGAGACTTGGGGGTCATGATTGAACACAAGATGAATATGAGCCACAAATGTAATGCCACAGCCAGCAAAGCAAATAAAACTCTGGCTTGCATCTACCAATGCATCTCAAACAAGACCCAAGATGTCATCCTCCCACTGTACTCAGCCTTGGTGAGGCCACAGTTTGAGCACTGCATCCAATTCTGGGCTCCACACTTTAAAAAGGACATGGAGACACTCAAAGTCCAGAAGAGAGCCATGGGATTCTTCAGCTTGGAAAAGCATAGGCTCAGAAGGGAATTGGTGGCAGCCTAAGTATATTGGGGTGTACATCAGGATCTGGGAGAACATCTGTTCACCAGGGTTCCCCTAGCGAAAACAAGATCCAGTGGCCACAAACTACTGGAAGATCATTTTAGACTGTACATAAGGGAAAAGTTCTTTACCATCCATATCTCCAGAGTGTAGAATAGACTCTCCCCAGAAGTGGTGCAAGCACGTACTCTGGACACATTCAAATCGTGTTTGGATGCTTATCTTGCTGAGGTCATTTGACCCCAGCTGACTCCCTGCCTTTTGGGTAGGGGGCTGGACCCAATGATCTTATGAGGTCCCTTCCAGCCCTAATGTTTATGAAATCACCTTCACATGTGTCAGGAAACAATGGGCCATATCCTCTGCTCAAAGCTCACTACTGCTCAGTTATGTTTGAGCCAAACTTTAAGGGTTGCAAAATCAGACTGTTACAAAACCCAACACCAGAAGGAATTATGGAAACAACATTTGGTCCTTCCAAAGGAAAAGTCAATTGAAAACAGTTGCCTTTACACAGCTTCACTTTCCTATAAAGCCTCTACAAACCCACATTTTACAGCATCAAAGTGAAGCAATATTAAATTGTTTTAATAATTTTCACTGTCCCAACCCAGACTGTAAAAAGAACAACAAGTACATTCGATTTTCAACATTCTTTCAACCTGTTATAAAGGCGGAGGTATGAAGAGAAACATAAATATGTACTGCTAAATATAAGGCATGATTTAGTGCAGCATAATGCTAGCAAGAATCAAGCCTTAGGATTTTTTCTTCCAGTAGCCATTGTTCCTTTAAAAAAAAATGAAAGGAACTCTAAGCAGGCAATTGTGGTAAATATGCATTTTTTCAAAGTCTTACATTAAATAAATAAAAATACAACTTTCCTTCTCTCACAGCAGCTATTAAGAATGTATGAAACATCTGCATTTTACTGTGACAACATAATGGTGGAAATGCCCGTTAGAAACCTTGTTTAAAAAAAAAAAAAAAAAAACCACAGAAGGAAAAAGCCTAACATTTACAAACCTGAGAATTTTGAATCAAAAAGGTAAGGTGCAAACTGTGGGTGATGAGAAAGAGGTATAGGTTGTATCATCCCAGAGCACCATTAGCCACTATTGACTCAGCTTTATCAGCAAGTCTGGCTCTTTTGTGGTGCAAAGACCAGATCCACTGCTTCTCTGAGAAACCCACAAGAGACAGCTCAAAGGATCATGAGATAACCTGCTGTAAAATCATCTCATGAAATTCTCCAAAAGCCATGGCTTCAGAAGGGAGGGATCTGGGGACTTCAGAGATTGCTGAAGAGCCCAAGGCATCTGAACACCCTCAGGGCAACTCCAGAGGAAAGGGCCTATAGTATTTCACGCCCACCTCTTCAGGCCAAAGAACCAGGTCATCTACAGAATACACTGCCTCATGGCACAGCCATTCACCTGTGCCTGGCCCCACCGAACCACATCTTTCAAAGAGGCCACATGAAGGGTGTCACAAAGAAGCTCTTGAGGAATGATGATGTCAAGGAGGCTGCACTTCCACCCTCTCAAAGGGATGGAGATCATTATGTGAAGAGCCCTTTACTCAGCTAACTCTCCTTGGACCCACTTTCTTTCTGCCAAATACCACATACCCAGGGTTCAAGTTACATTTGACTCTTGGAGGGGTCTACAAAATAAACTGGCTGCGGTCAGGGCACACAGGTCCCCACCAGTACTACAGGACAGGGGTCAGCTGCGATGGCAGCCAGAAGGAGCTGCAACCACCTGGGCAGTTTATAAAGGCACAGGGCAGGCCAGGGGCTGTGCATGGTGGTGCATGGGCTCCAGGCTGTTGTGGGGGTGGGGGGGATACTGACCAGCCCATGAGGGGCTCAGCCCCCCCCAAGCTCCCCCATAATTCAAACCGTGCATGTACTTGTTCTTTGTCATGTAGCACCAATATTTCTTTCCTATAAAAGATTTGTCCAGTTAGCCTAACCGAAGTAACTTCATCCCTTTAATGTAGTAAGCTCCAAGACACACAGCCTTAAGAACTTTAACTCACCTTGATGTGTCCAAGTACTGCAGCATATATGGCGTGGTAGGTAGGATCACTTCTTGCTCTTGGCCTCCTGGAGAGAGGATCACATGCATCACTTATGACACCTAAGGCCAGCACAGCGAGTTAATGCAGGATGAGTTAATGTAAGAGCAGCTTCAGCCTATGGTTTCTCAGGGCCAGACCTGGCAAGCTGTTCCTCTCGAGCAGCCTTCAGTGCCAGTGTGCAGTCCTACTGAGATTGTGCAGGAGCAGAACAGCTTGCAGACCGACTCATCACTGCCCCTCTTCCACTCATTTAACTAAAATTAAACCCTGACCCCCCCCCC